CATTTCCCTTAGACTCCCTTCACATAGGCAGGGAGAACTGCAGGGAGCTCTCAGGAGCCAAAAGCCCAGTCCTAGACACTCTGTAGAAACACCTTCATGCCAAGAGCATGTCTCAAGAGTACTTTTAATAGAACAGTTAATACCCAAGCTTATGTTTCAGAGCGGGCAGGGCACCAGCAAAGAGCACTGACATTGAGCTATGGCTTCAACAGTTGATCGAAACAGTTTAATGCATTTCCATTTCCAGTTGCATGGATCCATCAATGCTTCTTACTTATTTACAGTATCATCCCTTCCTCTTCTCCCTGCTTTTCTGTTTGCTACATAGATAACAGGGGAAATTGATGCTGGCTATTGCCCGCCTGATGTACAGCATTGCCAATAGGTTCGGCAGGATTTTAAAGAGGAATGAGTCAACAACGTGTGACCAGGAATAACATTTGCCAGTGTGTGAGTTTGAATAGGAAAACATATCTGTGCCCATCTGAACATTAGTTTAAGTGACAAGGGCAACAGATGTCCCAGTAGGACGTATTCTAGCTGCCTTCCAGGTCAGGGCAGAGCCAGACCTGCTGGTCACCAGCCCTATGGCAATGCCTATGTCTAGGACTATGCAATAGCTCCTGAAGTCCTGTTAACCATGGTAACTGCCCCTCCAAAGACAACGTCAGTCTACTTTCCTGATTACACTTAATATTCACTGTGCTTTGAAGATAAAGCACAATAATCCACCTTCTGTTTAAAGTGGCAAAACGCTACTGAAGGGCATTAAACATAATCCTTCGGAGATCAATCCAAATGATTGTGAACTATTACTCTGGATCCAAAAGGGGCCAAATTCACAGGCCTTTTTATTCCCAAGAAGGAGATATTCAGGTTAATTCATTTTATTTTCTTTCTTCCTGCCAAGATCTCACCTGCTGGGTGACCCAAAGATGAGAAACGGGATCATCTTTCAGACCTGACTATCCAAAAAACGGTCAACCCTATGTAAATATCTCCTATTCCTTTTTCCCTTCTTTCTCTGGGCATTCAGACACACTAAGACTTCTGCCAAAGACAAAAATGGCACCAGCAAAAGTCTACTTATCCAATCATCAGAATTTGGTGAACTAATTAACATCTCAGGAGAGGAGATGGGTGCTCTGCTACCAGGCTTTGATGGTGATTCAATGAGGAAGAACCCATTCAGGTGATGAAGCAAAGGCCTGAGACAAGCAAGTAGTGAGTGCTGTGAGGGAGGATAAACCTACCTGTGGGAAAATGCTGGCGTAGATGTATCAAGGATCAGGTGTGATGAGGCATGCAGGGTTGAGCTGGACTTTGACTGAGCTGTCCCAGTAGTTTATGACATGCTGTTCAGGATTGACAAAGCATCAGAACTGACACAGTATCATTCAAGCAGGGTAATGTACTAGGATTGCAATTTACACCACATTGTTCTATGAGGCTCTAATAGAGTAAATGTAATATTCATGATAAGACAGTTATCTCAAAGGCCAGTTCTAGCAACAGCTAGAGTTTAGAGTCACTACTAATCTTTGTAAATCATGAAAAAGATGTTTTGACCAGACTTTTAGAATACATGGCTAATATAGTTTTTGCAGTTTGTTATTATGCACTTGCTAAATTTGTATCTAGGTAGCCATTTCCACTGATCCACACATACACACTTTCTTTCTTTCCTCCTTTCATATATATTGGCTCAAATGACATTTGTATTCCAAAACCCAGAATGCTGCACATTTTCAAGTCCAGCATGTGTTTTACAGCCTTATGCTATCTAAACTACACAGGGTGACCCAGCCCTGATTTTAAACCCACCTCTGCAGAGGATTCATTTTCCTGCTGGGATTTTCTTGAGTGAGTACCTGCTCCTGAAAAAAAGCCTTGACAACAGCATCAGCAATAGCATTGATATTATTAACAGCAGCACTCTGCCCTTCCATTACTATTTTTATTTCAAGGTTTCAAAGTGCTACGTTTATTGTGCCCCACAAATCCTTGAAGAGATGGGTTAGTTTTATTCCTGTTTTGAGGATACAGGAAAAGATGACAAGACACTGCCACTCCAAGTGGTAGCCAGATTCCCAGGAGTTTTGACAAACCCAATCTCCCGCTCTAACCAGTATACAACATTTCTTCATCCTAACCACAGAGTTATAAGGCTTCAAGGACTTTCATGAACTTATTAATCTTCCAAAGCTCTACAGTTCAGACCAAGGTGTCCAGGGAATAGACTATCCAGTCTGACAAAGAGCTGATGATAGACAATTACAGGTCATAAGATAAAAGGAGAGCAACTTTTTCTGCTTGCAAAATACAAAAAATAATAAAAAGCCCAAACACTTTTTTTTTTTTGATAGCTGAATTTTTGTCTTCTTATTCTCTTCCCACTACTGCAGTGCAGTTGGAAAAGCCTATTTCTTGAGTTAGTTTGTTACAATACAGAACTATATGCATGAGGGTGAGGGGAGAAAAAGAAAAGAAAAGAAAAACGCAGAAACAGGTTCTGACATCTAATCAGATCTGCTGTATTGATTTTGCAACTTTAGCTTTGGAGCAAATCAGAGAAACAACCACATTATCACCCAGGATTCGCTCTTCCCTTGAGCGAGCCAGTTCAAAAGGGGCTCACGCCGACACACAGACAGGCATGCCTGCACACACACACACACACACACACACACACACACACACACACACGTGCACACACGCCTGTGTGGACGCACACCCCACCTAAGCGGCTCTCCAGTGGGCTGCGCGGGCCGGGGGAGGCGGGGGAAGCACTCATCACGGGGGCTGCAGGAGCCGCACGATCCCCATTTCTGACAAGATGAGAATTCCAGAGCAAGCCGCTGGCCTAATGAGCTACCCACACTGGAGAGCAGCGTGCCAATTAACCACAGCGGCCCCCACTGCGGCCCCCACCTCCTTCCAGCTGCTATTCTTGCCCTACTTTCTTGGTTCGTGGTTTGTTTTTCCTGCTGATGGAAGGAAAAAATTGACAGCCCGGAAACCAAAGCTGCCTGCTCAGGCACAGAACAGGCAGTGCCACCGTAAGATCCTCCCACAGTTTCCAGGCAGGAGGAGACAGCTCAGGTGTGCAAATGCTTAGATCTGTGTACCCTTAGCTGGAGCTGGGTACATACCGATGGAGAAGGGAAGAGGCCCATTTGGGCGGGCTGCTGATGGACCATGACACCATTACTTGGGCAATATCACACTAAAGCACTGATTGGCCTTGGGAAGAGCTATAGGAAGAGTACACTGAGTCATTCTTTACACATAAGTTCATCACATCTTTGCCTTCTTGGGAGTCACATCTAAGGCTTCACCCCAGAACAGTTTCTGGGGTGTATCAACCATCTTTCTTGCGCAGGGAGTCATGTCCTCCCTCTGAAGATTCAAGGTCGTGATTCCCCCTCCAGACCACCCAGTAAGCCTGAATTCATCCCAAGCTCAACACTGATGCTCCCTCTGCAGAGGCGATGAGGGTCAGCAAGAGCCACGCAGTTTTCAAACGCCAACACCAAACTGGGAACACCAGCAGGTCTGATGGTTCTTTGCTCCACCGTGAGATTTTGCTGCATCTCCCATCAGTTCCTGGGGTGACCAAGAGTCACCCTCCCTGCCATGTCCTGCCGTGTCCCATACGCCTGACCAACCCTGCCTTCCAAAACAGCTTAAACCAAGATGCACGTTTCCACCCTGCTTAAGGGAAGTGTCTTCACACATACTTACCTGCACAGAAATCTCCACACATTTCCCTGTTCCCATCCTGTAATTTAATTCCTACCGTGCTCCTGAATGGACAGAGATAATTTTAGAAGGGAATCTTCAGATACTCAAAGTTCCCACAGGATTTCGCACACCTCTGTTACTGCTGTGCTCCCAGCAGCTCACATCTGTGAGCTGTCTGGTTGGCTTCAGCCAGGTTATCCACTCTGGTTTCACTTCTCTTCTTCCCAGGGAGCGAGGCTGGGAGGAGTGTGGCAGCGTGGCTATTAAGCACTGCTGTGCTGCACATAGAGGCTCACCAGTGACAGCCTAGAGGCAGGGTGCCCCGGTGCAAATTAACCTGCTCCCTACTCATCCCACACCCGGCAAAGCTGCAAGGCTCAGAGGGCTCTGCGAGGCTTCAGCAGTCGCACTATCCCGATGGAATGAGGTCTGCAGGGACAGCTACTCCTATAGTCACAGCTCCTCCCAAATCGAGGCATTTTATCCAGCTGCCTTCCCCTGGCCTGATTCAAAGTCTTGAAGGAGAAAGCACAGACCCCCACACGTCAAAACACACATCAACAGCATGGGTGCTGAGCAGGAATTGAGAAACACTGCAGGGCAAGTACAGAGACAGTCACCCAACACAGACACCAGCAGCATCCCTCCCTCTACGTTCACCTTAGTGCACAGATATTGCCTTCAAGCAGAGCTGGGAGCATCACCTATCACTGTAATCACTCAACACACCACATGCTAAGAATCAGTTTTCTGTTACTCACAGCTTTACTGCATGGAAACCTCTTGGGAGTATGCAGGTTCCTATTAGGGTCCGCCTAGCACTGCTTTTCAGGCAAAATGGTTCAGGCATGTCCAGAAATGACAGCTGGGGTAACTAAGTTGAAGAAAGGGTCGTGGTGTGGAAATGGTCTACTTAACATTCAGTTGCTACCTTTTGAGTGCTTGACTTACTAACATACCCTGAAGGTATTTTACACACATGTAATGCACACAAACACACACCTGGTAAAGCTGCTGTTCTGCTCTCATCCACAGACACAACACCTCTCCATTCTGCTTGCAACACGCTGGCCATATGGTGTCCTGCCCTTAGCTTTGTGTAGCCAGCCCAATTAAATATAAGCTGTTCAAAGGTCCCCAGACGAGAGAGATGTGTCTGCTCAAGCCAGTAAGAAAGGTCAACTCTGCTTAGCCCACAGACTTTTGTGTACACAGGCATTCAGACAGGCGCTCCAGTACTGTATGGTTATACTCACACTGCACGTTGAGCTGCACCATGGCTTCCCGGGGTCTGATGTTAAAGCCATTGTACCTGGCTGTCTGACATTTATAGGTCCCACTCATTTCCCGGCTCACACTCTCCAGGCGCAGCTTCCCATCGTATGTCTCCATCGTCATTGTCCCTGAAGGCATGGGGGTTTCCTTATCTACCCGGGACCAGATGATGGGTGGCTTGGGCTTCCCTCGAACCTCGCACTGCAGCTCAGCCCGGGAGCCCTCCCGGACGGTGATCGTGGACTGACCCTTAGGGACACTGATGGTTGGTGGCACTAAAAGGGAGACAAGAAGGGAATCATTTTACTGCGAGTTTCCAGCAAGCAAGGAATTTTCTTGAGATGCTTGTGTCCGAGTTACACCAACAGCCCTGAACTCCCAAGGTTTCCACTAAACACAGTGCAACCCTTATAGGAACATACTGCCCATGTAAGCCATCCTACAGGGTCTGGAGCTGCAGAGCATCAGGGAAGATCCAACAATGTATCCCAACACCAACAGCAAGTACTGGCTGTATTGGGATGTTCTCCCAGCTCCCAGCCCTCTGATTGCAAAGTGCTGTCCAGCAGCAGGGCTAGCACATAGGAACCCAAAGACACAAGCCTCTATGGCCCATTTCTCCACTTCTGGTCAGCGAATTTTCCAAATGGAACTGCAGTCTTTGGCCAAGAAATAGAAGTCATATCTGCCAAGGTATCTATTTCCCTTATACAGGTCAGACCAAAACTAAGACTTACAGGATTAGTGCTTGTAGATCACATCTCCAGCCTTATCAGACATCCAGAATCCATTTGCTCCTAAACCACAGCAAGGGGCCAGCTTTGTTAAGTGCTTTTTCTTACTTTACACTGAGATTCACAGTGCACTGGCTCACTTGAGCAAGAGACGGCTCCTAGCAAAGATCACTTCTGGCATCCTTTCCAGTCCAGGCTGGGATCAGCTCACCCAGCAGAACTGCTGCTGAGCCAGGGCTAAAGCTGGAGGCACAGTAATGCTCAAGAAATATCCACCTATCAACTGACAAACAAAACTTTGCTGATAAACAAAGCTGAGAAGAAACCAAATGACTGCAGCTAAAGGGTGCAGAGGTGTCAGTGGGAAGAAATTTGTTGTTCATGTCCCCAACTACACCAAGAACCGAGGACGTAGATGTTTGTGCTAAACCCCATGTAATATTGACATTTTGTTTGTATTAGGCTTCAGAGTTAACAGTTCAACTGAGGTAAATACGACTGTAATAATTTTCTGAGAGCTCCTCTTCCAGCCCTTCCTGCTGACAGTGATCACACTTGTTTTGCCACTTCCATAACTGCAAGGGTCACGTACTTGGTTTCCATTTAAATCAAAGTTTAGAACTTCAGAGGCTGTAACAATCTAGTCTGACCAATGTTAGCTCAATTCAATTCCAGCAAAGGAGAGTGTGCTACAGTAATTGTACACATTATAGCCCACAGCTGCCTTCCAAGCAAATTTAGGATGGCTCCAGCCCAGTCTCCCTCTGCAGTGACCTTCCTATGCAACAGGGAGGCCACATTTTCAATTTGCAGGTCTCCTGTGGGCTGGGGAATCTCATCACACCCTGTCCCACACAGCGTGAAGGGACGACAACACTCTCAGCGCTCAGCACTTCCAGCAGCTGCTCACCCAGCGAGAGGCAATTTTCTCCATGGGGAAAAGCTGTAAATTGCATCTGAAGATTTTTTTTTAATTAAAGCTATCTCCTCAGAGCTGCTCAGTGGAGGCAGCCACCTTGGCGAGCTCAGGCTTTGCTCAGCAGGGAAACATGGAGCCACTACTGCCACCCTCCTGCTCTGATTCTGCAGTCTGGGGAAAACCCACTGAGTTTCTGTGCAGGAACCACATGTCAGAGGCAGCTCATGTCTGTTCATGGGGATGTTGCACGCTGGACAGCCTCAGCTGCTGCATGATGTGCTGTTCCAGTGGGGACGGCCGTTTTCTTTCCCTGGGTCACAAAGGGGTCTCGCTGGCCCGAGTTGCCAAAGAGAGGTGTCAAAATGCCCCAGGCTGCCCTCCTCTCCTTCCCCTTCTGCAGCATCAGCATGAGGACGTGAGGCTCGCCCTCCACCAGTGGGGCCAGAGCATGGGGCAACCTGCCACTGCAAGATACCTCCTTTGAGGCAGCAGCTGTCTGGCACCTGGGCCAACACCTGCACCAACAGACATTGCCCAGCTTTTTGGTGGGATCATCCAGGGTCTCCTAGCCCTTCACCACCTCCTAGCCATGCAGCCTTAAACACAAATGCACTCTGCCATCTAGTGATCTTGGGCAAAAAGGATTGCTCCTGGCAGCAGCAGCCACACAAGTTTGGGAGGTCCGGTTTTGCATCAGGATTGGGGGGTTCCCCAGGTTTTATTCCCTGCTGGTACAATGGGGGTAGCGTATCCTGGCACAGAGAGAGCCCTACTTACCAGGGCTCCCAGCAGAAGGGAAGCACCACCCTTTGGTGCTTAGTAGGTCCATGGCACGGGCAGGGTTCGATCTCCAGGCTGCTAATGAGCACTGGGCAGAGTCCCATTGGGAGCAGACTGGCCCCAGCATTTCTGCTGGGGGACAGAGGCTTCCCAAAGCATCAAAAGCAGTCACAGCACCTTCTGCTGGGGTGGGCTGAAGTGAGTGATGTGCAGAAACAAGACTGGGATCAGCCTGACCAATGGATCCAGCACAACCAGGGACCGAGAAGAAACTTTCCATGAAGGTTCAGGACAAAATCTGTGTGCAGCTGGCCCCCTTGGGAACCCTCACCAGATTGCTAGCCCAATGCTGTTTTGTGTCATACCCTCAATGTCCTGGAAAGGCAGCAAGATGACATGGATGTGATGGAAAGCAGAGCTAGACCCACCACTTCCCCAGGAGCAAAAAGGCAGTCCTGAGACCCTGCATTTCAATCCCCAAGGTGACTGACAAACACACTTACGGATTAGTCCTGTCCCCACCAACCCATGGGGTGAAGCTTTGACTCTGATTTTAAAGGGGGGAGACATTTATAACACTTGGACTCCTACAGAGAGTGCCCAAGACAGATTGCAATTGTAATCCAGTAAACATTAAAGCTTTTCACACAATTTGCTATGACAGATGATACCAATCTCCTAGCCACGGCTCTGAAAGAAGGGACATTCCTCATAAGCAATGCCAAAGAGAAGAAAGAGCAGCTTTCTTTCTCTTTTACTTCCTTCTAAACAAAGGGACATTTGAAATTTGGTGAAATACCACTACCTCTTTCTTTCTTCACAATTTGGAGGCTTCTTTGAACAATCATACTGTAAACCTGTCTCTGTAGCTTTGACTGGACTGCACTTTGGACTTTTCATAGGGAGAAAACATAAATCTGCTTGGTGCACAACAAATGTGGTAGGGGATCTATAACTATTACCCATCTCCAGTCGCATCCAAATGCTTGCCTGAGGGTGTGATACTTTTTCCCACTAGGATTCAAGACACTCATGTGAGGTCCTTCAAAAAAAACAGAGGGATGAGGGGCAGCTAGTGATGTCAGCCGCTCTCCTGGGGTTCCCAGCTGCCACAGAGAGACTCACCAGTCTCTGAGGAGATGTTCACCTCTACACTGAGGTCAGGAATGGGTGCTCCCTGGAAGGTAGCCACACACAGGTAGGTGCCATAGTCACTGAACCTCAGGTCAATAATCTCCAAGCTGCAGGTCACAGGTGGGAGCTCAGGGTCATTCCTGGTGATGAGCAACCGGTCTGAGAACCTGGCTGGTTTCCCGTTCTTGTACCAAGAATAGACCACCTTCTCCTGGGGGACAGCATCCACGTGGCAAGAGAGCTTCAAGTCTTGCCCTAACTGGATAGTCTCACTCTCTTTGATCACATCAGGGGTGATTTGGAATGTGGCATTCTTCATGGCTGGAACAAACACAAGTGCAAAACTGATTAGGGACAGTAAAGTGTCTTGCATGGAACAGGACAAAAGCGCTTTGATCCTCAGGAAAGCAACATCTCTATGCAAAACCTGTCTCAATATGTGCCCCGGTTATGTTCCCACAGCAGATCCCCAGGGCCTCACATCTGGCAGTCTGAGATCATTCTCTAGCCCAGGACAGTGCTACAACCTGGGACGAGGCTGCAAGCAGTGCTAGCACCGCTGCTATTCTGGGAGTAAAGAAGCTTATACAACAGCTTCTCCAGTATACTAATCTCTGCTAAGTATCCCATTCACCCTCAGCTGTACAAGAACAGCCAGGAGAAACACAAATCAACCCCTTCACCCTGAACACCCATGCTCTAAAAAAAAAAGAGAGCAACTTACACCGCACCAGCAGGTTCACTGTCTTCTTTGCTGGGTTCCCCACGTTGTTGATAGCTGTGCAATTGTAGTAGCCTGAGTCCTCAACGTGGATCCTCCAGATAGTGAGGTTTCCTCCTTGCACAATGCTGTTGGGAGGCATTGGGCCAGGAGAGTGAGACCAAACCACCTCTGGCTGTGGGTCACCGCCCGTCAGAGAGCACTGCATTGTGATGTTGTCACCGGGGTTGACCACCAGTGTCTCATTGACAGACAGCTTCAGAGCAGGTGGGGCTGGAAGAGTACAAAGAGGGTCACTTTAGAGCTTGAAAAAGACCCACCCACTTGCCTGTGCACAGCTTCATACTTTCTAGGATTCATTTTTGAAGATGACTCTGGAAGAATCCATGAATTAACAAATACAAGGTATCTGTGAACCTAAAGCATTATTATTACCATGTCTTTGACCATGATCAAACATGTTTGTTATGGTTAGGAAACATCGCAGACAGGACCTCACACCACCCCAGAATGGAAGTCATACCTAAAACGTTCCACCACTAAAGTGGTTAGGATTAGAGCGCAAGCCAGGTATGATATTTTAGCAGTGTTTAGTGCAGGTTCTCTAGGCTTAGGACTTTGGTCAGAAGAAAAGCCCAATGAGCCCCCTTTGCACAGGTAGGAGTGGCAACCAGATAAAATTTGTCAGTGGAAAACCCAAGGCTAGAGGCTTCCTGACTCCCGATGCAAACAACTGCAGCAAAGAAGAAGGGCAATAGAAAGCTACTGTGGCTCTGCATTACTTACCTGCACTGCCCCCAGCCCACTCCCCTGCAGACACCACAGTGCCTTCTGTTCTCCCTGGGTGTAACCCCCCTGACTCTAGGCAGGCCCTGCAGAAGCATCACTGAAGGAAAAGCTCAACTGGTAGCTCCTACTAGAGCACCTGTATCTCCTTTGCTTCAACACTACTGTATGAATCACAGTTAGTCTGCTTATGGCTTGGACAGAAACAGCACACTGGACCAAGTAATGAGAAAGGAAGAAAAGAAGGAAGAGGGAAAAAAAAAAAAGGCAGGAGAACAAAAGATGTATTGTCATAAGACATGGGGAGTTGCAGCCATGGATTGATCTTAGCATCTCAGGACCTGAACTAAATCATGCTGAGAAGCTCACTGGGATGTCAGTGTTTGTTGGACAGTTATCACAATCCCAAGGGAAGGTGTTGTGGAAACTCTCAAATAAACAATAAGAACTAAAATTTATTTTTTCAGCACAATTAATCAACACTCCGCAAACATACAAACAGCAGGTTCAAATGTCCATGAGAGGAGAACAAACTATCACCTCACAAACTCCTGGGGTTTAATGGCAACCCAAAATGCCCTCCAAGGGTTTAACAACAACCCAAAACGCTCTCCAGGGGTTTAACAACAACCCAAAACACTCAGTCACTCACCTAACAAAATAAAAGGACTCTCAACCTCGAAGAACATCTTAGGGCAGCGTCCCAACCCACAGGAACCCCAAGGAATTTCTTTGGGCAGTGTCCCAACCCAAGGGGAGAGTCTTTACCTGCAGCACGCTGCTCCAGGCGGGACTAGCTCAAAATGGCTCCCCCAGGGGACTCCATTTATACCCAAACCAAATCTGATCTGTGGTCAACACCAGCCCCTATTGGCCAAAGACCCCAACTACTGTAAAGCCCTGAGAACAAGGGCACAGAAAAGGTTCAACAGCCAGGTAGGCACATTTCTATCAGGCGGGTGCACCTGCCACAGAAGGTCAGGCAGAGCATCAGGTGCATATCCAGTCACAGCCTGCTCCTTCTGCCCGACCACCAGAGTTCTCCACCCTGATGGAGAGGTGAAGGAGAAAGGGCAGGTTCAGAGGAGCCTACTTGTACCCAAGAGCAATTTGTGTTCGAAGACAGCTGGGATTAAGCCACTCCTCCCATACTGAGTTGCCACCTCAAGAAGAAGTTTTGGTGCAAGTCTATCATTAAAAAAGGACCTCAGCTATCCCATGATATGACTCCCCATCTCTCACACCCAACTAGATGTCTTTGAGAAGCAAAACCTTTGCCAGGCAGCTGGACCTTGCAGCTCAGAGCCTGACATAGAGGACCAGGACCTGTCTGCACCATAACAGACCATGAACAGCAGCTCTGCACCTGCTCTTAACCTCCTTTACCTCCACAGGGGTCAAATACACTTCCCTATAGATCCAGGGGCTATAGACCAGGTCACAGGAATTGTCTTTCATGCACAACTGAACAACTGGGACTGATCCAAAATGTCTAGACCACCTCTCCTTTGAATACCCTAATACCTGTTTTGGTTTATTTTATTTCTGTGCCCTTCTTACTACATCCCCCTTACTACATCCAAGAACCAATCCAAAATATTTCCCTTTGTATTCTTTACTTCATCCCATGACAAGCTTTTTAGAAGCCCTTGTCAACATCATCACTTGCTCTATCCAGACAGCGCTGAGAAAGTAGCAGTCCCCAGCACAAAGGCGGGGAGTATGTTTTAAGTAACAGCCATAATAATGCAAAATAAGACATTGTTCCATATTCATGAAGCCTGATTTAACAGCATCATTATTTCTGCCTCTTCTCTCCCTGGACCCTGCGTTAATGAGCTGTGCTGGATTTGTGTTGGATCTCTGAATTACAGCCCATACAAACAAGGCGAGGAGGACTGTTCTCTCCTCAGCACCAGCTCCATAATTTAGCAGCGCAACTACTGCCACGCTGGGATATTGCTTTGGTGCACTGAATCAAATGTCATCTCCCTGGCCACACTACATGCTACTTGTGCCAGAGGTGGCCAGCTGTGCCTAAGGAAGAAGGTGGCTCCTCTGCCACCTGAACTGGTCATTTTGATGCCAGTGGTTGGAGTCCTTGAATTTCAGGAGGCCACAGCCTACACTCAGAGCCTTTGATGGGTCTCTCTGCTGGAGTCTTGGAAATAGTTTGCAAGGGTTAATGCACACTAATGGCCAGAGAAAAGATCTGCAGGTCCTCTCCAAGCTCCAGGTGGTTTCATCAGATGCTATGAAGCCCAGGAATGCAATAGCTCAACTCACTGCGGGCAGGCAGGATACATTTCTGCCACTAACAGGTTGTCAGCTGAGTGTAGCTGACACCAAACAGCTGTTCTTGCCCTGTGACGCTGAACTGGTCTCAGGTTCACAGGGCGCAGACAAACCGACAGATGCGGCATCTTGCCTGGCAATCTCCATCCGTCCCAGTCAGAGCCAGAGAAAGGCTGAGACCAGTGTATGTCCAGAGAGATGTCAGAGCTGGGGAGCACAAACCAGAGGACCTGCAGGCTCTGGTTAAGATTTAGAGCTTTTGCAGTGTTTGACCTGCACACATCTGATCAACACTCATCTTGCCCAGTTCTAGGCAAGGCGACATGGGAAAAGAGTGACACGCTGGTGCAAGCACTGCCTCAGGGCAGGTTGTGTGTGCATGCAAGAGGGAGGCAGGGAAACTGCAAAGCTGCCACCCACACAGCTCCAGGCAGCAAGCTCTCATGACGTGCCCCAAAACGAAGCCCCAGCTGTGGCAGCCTGCGAGGGCTCCCACTCCCACTCCTGTCAGCAGACAGAGGTTAACAGTCGGCAGACATTGTTATGCAGGAGATGAATCTCATTTATTTGTAACCTGTGGCAATTCCTTTTGTTCTTGGCTCAGGAAACCTGCTGGCGGAGTCTGCCGAGCAGCAAGGGGACCATTAAAAACAAAGAGTCGCTTTCAATTCCCTTTGAAGTCCAATTTGCTGCAGTAAAACTGCAGGAGAATTAACCTGCTGGGCAGCTTAATTTTGCAGAAATCGAGGAAGGGGGAGATATCAGCCTGACCGTGCTGGAGCAGGGGATGACAGCCCTGCGCTGAGCTGGTCCTGTGGCTCTGGGGACCCAACTTGTTGCTGTAGAGCCACACAATGGCAGCAGAACAGAGGAGGAGAGCAGGGGGGAACCTCCTTCCCATTAAGGTTGCAGACCGAGAACCCATCGCCTCCTGCAAGGGCCAAGCTGCTGACACGGAGCTTGCAAGAATCACATCTCCTTGCCAGACTATGATCAGCCCAAAGGCCACTGCCAGAGGAGCCAAGGTGAGCCAGCTGAGGAACAGCAAACAACAGGGAAGAGAAGATTCCTTTGGCCTGACATGACCTGACCCACCAATTCCCCTCCAGGTCTGTAGTACTTGGGTCTATAAATATTGAAGAGATTGATTTCCATGCACCTCAGCGCCCTTTGGGCCACCCGCAGTTGCAAAGGCGAAGGCAACCTAAGCGAAGCTGCTCAGAATTCTGGGCACAGCCAAGGCTATGGGGACTGCTAAAGCATGAGAGGGATAGTGAAGACCTATGCAAAAAAAGGAGCGAGTGGAAGATTTTTCTCTAAGTATTTTTTCACCTACACACAATACTGCCTACAGTGCAAGTGAGCCAGATAATGTTTCATGTTAAATATACTTGTACTATTTAACACAAACCCTGCTCACACCACAATGCCAGATTCATTTTTACCACCAGCTTTTAACACAGTTTGCTCGAAACACATTTTCCATGGCCCCTTTGTACATGTAGTGTCAGGCTCCACCATAATTAAGTATAAATATGCATCTATAACTAAACAACAGGAAAAAAGAACTAGTTGTATGTGCTACATGGTCCAGGTTCAGAGCTTTGGTGTGTACTTAAGAAGCTGGTGTAAATTCAGCCATATTGCTGGCTTCTGATCTGGCTAAAACCTGAAAATATATTTTCGTTGTTCACTCAGCAAAGGGACTAGACTGAAATGAAGGATAGTTTCCCTGTGCTTGGGCTGGCAGGGGGGAGTGGACATGAAGAGAAATTTCATTTTCTAACTCTTCAAAGGTAAAGACACAACAGAGAAGAGCAGCTATATGAGATCCCTTTTTTCATCAGGCGCACAAAATAAGTTTTTAAAGGGAATATTTCAGCATTTTCTACAGTCTCATCCTGAGAGAAATTCAGGCAGTCGTGTGAGTTGCTCAAGACATGTTCCGAGATCTCATACACAGAGAATATCTTTTTCTGACATTAGCTATAGTTCACTTCCTTAAGCTCATTATTTTTCTTCTTTCTACATAAAATGATGCAACTATTGTTCAGCACCTTGGACTCAAGTCTGATCAATAAACATAATTTATACAGTATCAACAATAGCCCATCAACAGTTGGCAACATCAAAAGAGTTGTTTCCACTGCACAAAGATGACACAAGGGATGCAAACTGCTTTGTGTTACATTAGAGAGGTGAATAATTCAAAGAACTACCATGTCTTTCTTTCTGATCATGGAATACCCCAGTACTGGAAGCTATTTCCTGACATTTATTTATTATTCGAAAATATTCAACACATCTGGAGGCCTTGCAGGTGTTGGGGTGGGGTTTTTTTTGTTTGTTTGTTTTTTTTGTTTTGTTTTGTTGGGGGTTTTTTTGTTTGTTTTTTGTTTTTTTTTTTTGGGGGGGTGTGGTTTTGGTTTGGTTTAGGTTTTGTTTTTTTGAGGGGGGGAGATTGTGTGTTCTTTGGTTGCTTGCTTGGTTTTGTTTTTTGTTGTTTTTTTTTGTTTGTTTGGGGGTATTTTTTGGTTGGCTTTTTTTTGTTTTTTTTGGGGGGGTGGGTTTTGGTTGGTTTTGGTTTTGTTTTTTTTTTTTTAATGGACAAGTTGCAATCAGGTCCATGCAAGTATTTGATATGTGATACTCAGTTATCAGTCAGTTATTGCAGGTCAAGCAAGAGGCACCAATCTGATTCTGTTCACAACTGGAGGCACACTCAAGCACTGTCAGTATGAATATCAGTGTAAAATTTATTTATCGGGAAGGTACCAGAGATATTTGCTTTCCACAGATGTTGGCACCACTGGAGCCTGTTAGATGGGAGGTGCTAAGAGTGCAGCCTGGCAAACCAGGCCAGAGTCAAACATGAATTAATTATTTGTAAGAATTCCTGCAGCATCTGCCCTACTCTAGACTGTATCAAATCTATTTTTAAAGTCACTTAGAATTATAAATAAATAAAACAGTGTCTGGATTAAAAACTACATAGTGCCTCAACACCTACATGCAGTTTGTTTTAATGATCTCACAGCAGGCCTGGCCAACACACTGGCTGTACACAAAGTGACAAGAAATTAGAGCATCCCCGGCCACAAAACTTCTGCATGAAGGATTTGTAATCCCAGCAGCCATGTACATGAACGTGAGGTGCTGCAGGCCCTGGGCATGGTGCTGAGTTACCCCCTTTTGGAGGGGTAATGGCTGCGGAGCAGGCAACGGGTCAGAGGGCTGCAGGGACCCTCTGCGTCCCCACTTACCTGTGGTGTTTGTGAGCTGGAAGGTGATGGATTTGTCAGGGATACTGCAGACATTGCGGACAGACACCTGGCATGTGTAGCTGGCATAATCCTGGGGTCGCAGGTTCTTCAGCTTCAGGACTTTAGTTTCACCCTGAGAGTTGGGAAAAAAATTGGGGGGAAAAAAAAAAAAAAAAAAAAAAAAAAAAAGACACGGGTGTACAAAGCACAGCTCATCATCACAATTTCATAACCTGTCCCAAAGTTTACAGATTACCAGCAGCTCCATCAAAACCTCAGGGAACTGTGCAGACTCCAAGCCCCAATAGCGATATATAAAGGAGACATAAAATGTTTGCAGTGGTAACTCTACCTCCAGGATTTCTCAAAACACCCAGACACGACTGACATTTAACCTGAAAGCAATGTCGAACTGGTCTAGGCATAATTTCTCATCAACTGCTGTCAGAATAATCTTGTGGAACTTGAAAAACCTTAAATGTCCCAGAACAGACTCGAGATCTCACACAGAGATGTTGGTAGGAACCCAAGGGAGGTCACTGGGGTCTCAGCATTGCAAAACCAAAGTAAATCAGAGCAGATTCAGGCATTAATGCTGGTGTAAATATGACAAGTTCAACAGTTATGCTGCAAAAATTTACAGTACAGGGGAAAAAAAGATAATTCAGAGAAACACTCAAAGAATCCCCCCCCCAACTTTTTGATCTCTCTTCTCCAGACTCTAATCTCATTTATGCTGGTGTAAATCCAAAGTGGCTGCATAGACCTTGATATCTTTTTCTCATACTACAGTAACAAACAAACAAACAAAAGCACTCCCTGGCACTCCATTAGTTACTGGCTTGTTATAAAACCAGAATCAAGTTGTTAAATTAACAACAGATGCGTTCTGTAGATTTTTATTTATGAAATGTGGAAAGCTCTGAGGTGCATCCTGTGGTTTGTGCCCCCCGCAACTCATATGTCTTCCCATGACAGCTTGTTGTTCTCTTTGTGTTTGTCTAAATCTCTTTGGAGAAACCATTCCATAATTGTCTGAAAATGTGAGAAGGTGTCAGCACGGAAAACCCTCTCGAGGACAACCTCAAGGGACTGGACGATAAGCTCAGGCATGCTAATATACAGAGAACAAGGATCTGAACTGAGTAAATTAAAAAGATAAATACCTAGGAGACCAATAACCCTATGAAAGTCCTGTCCCCTGAGATTTGTTGCTACACCACATAAATGATGGCATTTACAATGTGCACGTCAACTACTTACTTACAGGGTCATATGTATCCTGTTTATTGATTAGCAAATGTTGGGTAAATGTGTATAAACCTTCAGCGTAAATAAGTTTTTAAAAGTTTAAACAGTAAAGTCTTCACCTTTTTAATGTAAAAGGCTATCCAAACTTGACACTGATACCAGTTCATCTCCAAGACCATATTACGAACCCCTGCAAAGGGTGATTTGTTAAATGTAGTGCATTTGAGCTCCAGCAAGATTTTCCCCTCCTGATAGTGTTGCAGAAGTGTGGTTTTGTTAACTTCAGCCCAAACTCACAGGTTTATGCTGGTGCTAAGGGGAGGACTGTAAGGGCATGCCTGTGTGAGCACAGCAGTCCGAACACCCTCTCTCAGAGCTGGGAATGACCCATCACGGTAGGAACATTGTCTGACAGAAGCTGCAGCATACTGGGTCATTTATCCATCAATGCTGCACCACGGGGAAATTCTGCCAGATGCTTTATTTAGCTGAAGAAAATATCTCAAGTCCTAAGACATCCTCTCATTAATCAATATCTCCGATTAATTACACTAAGCTTAGTGAAAGCTGGAAGAGCCCATGGTGACTTCCTCTAAGGCCAAGGATGTCCTGGTTGAATGCCACATAGCACTGGACTAGACAAAGCCCTCTTCACGGCCCAACAGCAGCGCTGACCTACACAGCATTTCTGCAAATCTGCTGCTAACCTGCAGCTGTCTTCTCTCTCCTCATCCCCCTGAACGTTTCCATTTGGCTGCCCATTTCCGTGACCTACAGAGATAGCGTGTTTCAATAAAATATGAACATGACTACATTAACTGAAAGGTTGCCTGGAGCATCGCTCAGAAATGAAACTTGATCAGAATGTGCTCAGGGCCCAGCTTTGGGAGCATGAGGAGGTGCGTGGGATGAAATGGGTACCCTGGGGAGCTGCCCTTTCAGCCCTCCCTTCCCACCCATCACTGCCTTGTACTGCCCAATGGCCTTGCTGGAAGCATTGGGGCTGGTTAGCATCTGAAGGACATTCAGGGCCAGAGCTCAGCTTAGGATAACATGCCCAGAGTGTCCTGAAAAAAGAAAAATTCCCCTCTGTCTCCCACTGTGTCGGTGGGCTAATTACTGTGAAGAAAGTGGTGCTCAGAGGGGTAAGTCCAGCACAGGCAAGCAGGAGAAGCAGAAAGGATGTGGATACCCTGTCACAGGACGACAGTCAGAAAGTGCCCAGGCAGTTGAGCTGTCTCTGTTACTTATGGCCATTAGGAAAACCTCTTCATCATTTGCCTCAGGGATCCCACAGCAATTCATGCCATTCACTCACACTGCTAAACAGGAAGCAATTCCCCTGATTTATGGAGCTTGGTCACTAATTAATTAAAAAAAAAAAAAAAAAAAAGTACTGGGAGATAGAGAAGACCCAATCTTGCAATTGTTTGCTTGGATTTTAGTCTCAGCCACCCAACAGCCACGTAACCTCATTAGGGGATCTGTGACCTGTTCTCGGGGACAATGGCAAAAAGAGGAAGGGAATTCTAGGCTGTCGTGCTCTGCTCCTCTCATCCCCTGGGAACCCACATTCAGAAGTCTACCAGTCCTTTTGGAGACAGTGCTCCTTGAAGTGGCCACCACCCTCTCCCCCAGCATCATAAGCCACACAAGGAAACAAACACCATCCACTATAGTGCCCTGCATCAGTAAGATGCTCAACACAAGCTGGTGCAGGTCTATTTTTTCACCTGTGTGTAGAGGGGTTCATAGATGTCTACACCATTGTCCTGACTGTGGGAAAGCGTCTCAGCTCCCCGTTTCCAGATGAAGCGAGCTGGTGGGTTGGAGTTGACAGTGCAGCGGAGGAAGACAGTCTTCTCCTGGTAGAAGCTGCCACGTACATCACTGATGGTCTGGTGAACGGTGAGAACAGGTTCATCTAGATCTGGAAGGAAGGTAAGGAGGGCCACAGCAGTTGTTAGTGAAGCTTGGTCTGCACGTACAGCCTGCAGAGCAGATGACGCTCCAGGCATCATAGAGGAGAGGGGAAGCTCCCACACATTTGGCTGATGACAACTGCTGAATTAAGAGCTGATCTGAGGGCAGGTAACACAAGAAATATCTAAAGGGAACACACAGAAGAAGCCAAAATTCTGCTCACCACACAACCTTCAGAGAATAGAAAGCACCCTCTGGTTTGCAGAGCCCCATGTAGTCCTAGAGCAAACCATTTGCCTGCCAGATGCCTCTCAGACCGGTGGGCTGTCTCACTTTCCCCAGTGGCACCCCACCCCCAAAATCACCACTCTCTAATTCAGTGAGAGGTCAGAAGGATCCCAGGAAACACTGCTCTATCATAATTTCTTCTGCTCCCACTTTCCATATCCCAAATTCCTCCTGAAATAATGGGGCTAAGCCCATGGCTGTGAGATGCCCATACAAAGCACAAAACAAATCTTCAAGTCACAGGGGTGAGGATAAAAATCAGGACAAGATCAAGGAGCTGAGATGGAGAGTCATCTCCTAGATGGGAGCAAGTCTTGTGGGGTACCATGGGAACATGAGATGCAAAACACTGCAATAGCTATGTACAATTTCTCTCCCTATTAAAATATCCTCTGTGTATTTTCTTCTTTTCAAGGTTTGTACTGACCCTCCCTTTTCAGGAGCTTCTACTCACTGCATCTCCTTCACCCATCTGGTCTAAACTGATCAGATTCTATTGTCTTATCCCCTTACAGAAAAGGCTCCTTCCAATTCCCTCACCATACCTGCATCAGACACGCAGATGTCATGAATGAATTAATCGTTATCACTCACTTCATTTGCAAGGACACAAGCAATAGCCCTGCAGGGAGCATACTTTCTCCATCCACTCAGAGCACACCTCTCCCAAGGGTTGCCCTCCCACTAGAAAGGGATCATTTTCTTGGGCTTTTGCACCAGACATCAATATTTGAACATCAAGGAAGCATGAGAAAAACCTCAGAGGGGGTAGATCTTAGATCTTTCTCCTCCCAGAACCTCTCTGAGACTGACTGAGGTTAAATGCAAAGATCCCATTTGGCAAGATGGGACCAATAGAACTAAATTGGTCCTAAAACTGAAATCTGTCCCTGTGCCCTTAAGCATGTTTTATAAGGCATCTGTTGAGCTCAAGTGAAGCAATGTTACATTTTCAGAAGCCTTATTACCCCATCTTCAGCTGTGAGGAAACTAAGACACACACACCCAGTATTCTCTTGTGCTGCCACCGTCTTCTGCACTTGTTAGCAGAGAGGAGGAGGACACACACTCATCACCTCCTGCTCTCCTATGCCACCTAATTTTCACAATATTTTATTTTAGAGATTTGTGAGTTTGGGGATTGACTCCCAGAAAGGAAGAGAGAAGCAGGAATTAGTTTCTTCTGCTAATGTGTCATCCATATAATGTAAGTTCCCTGCCAAATTACAGGTGTCAACTTGTGGATTTGCATATTTTAATGAGCTGTATGTTTGGTCAACAGCAATTGTAATGGGACCTGAGATTTGTCTGCTTGACCACACCATAACTTAGAGATATGAGTAGAGCCATTAGCAGAACAATGACAAGACATCAAAACAACAATAAAAAAAAAAAAAAAAAAAAAAAAAAAACCAAAAAACCAACACAACAAACCAAACACAAACCAAAACCAAGGCTGAAGAAAAACATACACAGGTGGAAAAAAGTCTCTTCTCCATACAGTGCTGTCTCCATGTGGCCAAAGGATGACTGAGTAACTCTGTAGCTACCATCCTTCTGAGGTCCCATTCTCAGCAGGACACGTGGCAAAACGCTTCCCTTACTGATCAAAAGATACTCACCATTCAGGCCTCCTGGCACCCAGCTACTCCCCACACAGAAAACATCTTCCTTTCAGTTGTTAAACCCTTCCTCCCTCAAATCTTTCAGCCTTCTTTTGTAGCAGTCAGCTCAAAGTCGAGCCCTCCTGAGAAAAGCTAAAATAAACCCTACGATGATATGCATGTCCTTGATGTACGAGTAACACCACTGATGTCAGTGAGCTGCACAGATGATAAATTTGGCCCAAGGCTGCTCATGTAGATGATCACATGGGATGTTTCATGTGCAATATAAGCTTGTAAACATCCATTCTTTCTTTTTCTTTATTTTCTCTCTCTCCCACATGGAAATACTCCAAACAGCAGCTGTCTGCCAGTATCTAACCAATACTTTAAAGCCTCACTTGATGCCCGCTTGGGGCAAAGGAATAACTTGCTACACAAGTTAGTGTTTCCAGCTGAATATCCTCTTGGCACCAATGGTGCTCCCTGCACAACTTTGCTGTCTACTGCTAAAAGTATGAGCGAGGACCTGCACTAGCAATCAAGGACACCAAGGTTCACAAGGGTGATTATTTACCTCTAACTACAAACTGGGATGTGGGAAAAGAAGGGGTTTGCTTTCAAATTCGGGTTCATTCAGCTGAAGGTTGCCTGGGTGAGCGTTCAACAAAAACTGTGGCTTTTCCTATGTGTTCCCTTGTACCTTCTGCAAATACTAGCAGAAAATAGTCTCTCCTCCCCCAAAAAGAAGTGAGCAGAACAGAGGTGCATTACCAAGTCCATCTGCAGAGTAGATGTTAGTATGAGAAAGCCCTTGGCCATCCCATTAGCCCCATAGTTCTACAGGTCAGAGCTGCACGAGGGACCATAGGACACTACATCACTCTAGCTCCAGCCTGCACCCCAGAAGTAAAGGGAGCGCCCTCAGGGCATAAAGAGATTGATGCTACAGTCCTGTTCCTAGAGACACAGGCCCTGGCAAGGTGTCATACTGAGGTTTGAGAAAAGCAAGTCCCCTTTGCAGTGGAGAGTTACCATATCACATGTAGGAGAAGAAATGGGCAGAGAAGTCAAGCAGATCTAGGTGGGTGTCAGAACTCATCCAAATAAAGACATGCAACGCCCATGAGTAAATGCTCATCCTACCCAGAGTGGCTGCTGCTGAAGCAATATATTTTCCCAGCCTGTAAGATGGTGCTGACACTGCACTGCTCCAATACAGGATAGAGGAAGGAAGAAACAGGCACGAGAGCTGCTCCAAGCCATACAACACAACTGTGGATCATGAACCTGCTGAAGCCTAAAGGATGTTCAAATCTATGGCATACTTTGTGAGGGCTACATCGTTGTAGGGTTAGACAGGAGGACTAAGAGGAAGCAGTCAGGCAGCAGTTGCTGTCAGCAAAACTCTGCCCAGACTCCAGGGAGGTACTGGGGTTTTGAAGCCTGGAGGTTGCTCATTATTGACAGATAACCACAGTGCACCTCAGCACAGAAAACTGTCTTGCTAGGAGGAGTGTGGGAACAGGTGGTAACAGGTTTGGGAAGAGTTCAAACTGCTTTATCACACTTTATATCTTTTTAAAATCAACCTCCTGTTGGCTAGGCCTTCTCAGAAGATATAAGTGAGGAGAGGGATTTGATGACACTTGGGTTGGAGAAAACTGGAATAGTGAATAGCCAAGGACAATGAGTAGAATTGCAGTCTTCCTCAAGACAGCAAATCTCTTCAAAATTTGCCTAGACCTGAAATCTTGGATTCCTCCCATATGGGGGTTATGGGATAAGCTTAATTTCCCTTTCTTTTGGCCACAGCAGCCCAAGAATAAAAAATATTAAGCTAGCATAAGTGACCTTCAAAACTGGGGTCCCACGGTAGAGAACTGTCAACAGCATCTCCAGGACACAAAAAAGATGGGCAATGCAACCAGCCAGAGAAACACTGAGTCACTAAAGCCAAGGGATCCTCACAGATTCCTTTATGTTCAGAAAGAAAGCAGAAACTATCTACAATGCTACATGCAAGACAAGTGCTAGGGACCCCTGGCAGTGACAGATATGATGGCACCTAGATAAGAATGACTCACACAGACAGGCAGAGCTAGCTTTTTTTGTGGATGGATCTAATCTCCTAGGGAAAACAGACCCTAGGGACACAGCACCAGTCCCTTTGCTCCTGAATCGGGTGCGCGTGGTCCTAGGGCAATGCAGCTCCCTGCCGGCCCCGCAGCGAGGCAGAGGTGTACAGTAGAACTGTGGGAAGGTCTGGGTTGCCGCTAAACGACTTACACTGCACATCTACTCGAATGGACTTGATGGCAGGAACCCCAACCCCATTTTCTGCTTTACAGTAATAGCGGCCCCCCTGCAGCCTTTGGATCTTCTCAATCCGAAGGGTCTCGTTAAGCACTGACGTCTCTTGGAATTTGTCCGACGCGCTGCCAGCGGTTTTGGTCCATCTCACCTGCATGAGAAGAACAAGAGAAACGCAAACAATCAGTGACTCAAACTAGAGATCCCAAAGGACAGCAGAGGTCCTTTTGCTCCTCTTTCCCCCTCCTCCCTAGCCACTCTCAAAAAAGGGCCCTACAGCAGCACCAAACCTTACCAAAGTTCAACTACTGATCTCAGTATGTCTCAATAGACCAGCTGCTGATTCTCATCCATCACCAATCCCCATATCAGACTGTCCAGGATAAGCCCTTGGTTCACCCAGACAAACACTGCATATTTACCACTCCTGCCCTGGTCCTGTAACCCAGCAGCTTGGTTAGTTTTATACCACTATCTGCACAGCACAGGACTTTCAGGATTAAGCCTTGGGACCCCATGTGGCTGGTAGGCCATGAAGCCACAGCAGACATCATCTCACAGCTACAGAACTTTTATTGCAGTCAACACCCTTTCATCTTTCTCTAGACAGCAAGGCTATTTCTGCTGTTTGCTTTTCCAAGTAAGAGTGAGAAAATGCAGTTGCTATCTGACTCTTGCCCCTTTCCCACAGGGAACCCCTGTGTATGTCATTTTTATAAGTCATCCTTTTGCAGTATACAAGCTTTTACTTTCATTTTAAAGATACAGAAGAAGAAAATAAAAAAATCCCTTCAGATTTCAAGCTACCTTACATTTTTTGTCCTTACGTTACATGTCTTAAGATTGTGAGGGCAACAGAGCTGCATGATATTTCATGGTGAATGGTGGCAAGAGGACAGCACTCCTAAAGATTGAATGGTTATTCTTATGTCTGGAATGAGGTACAGCCCTAGCAGTGGCAGCACAAGCCTCCCCCTTGTTTTCTGCAGTCCAGACAGTGAAAGAGAGTTGGCTTTTCTCAACCCACTGATTTTCTGTATATCTGCAACTTCTCTTCTAAAGGCTGGTGACTGGTGGTCTCCCACACTGGTGCCCACCTAGACTCTGGGACTAAGATCCTGAAAGATCAGCCAATAGAAAGAAGATAGACATTCATTCAACACTGGCCACAGATAAGATGGACCAGATACCTTGACCACTCTGCCAGATTTTGCCTAAAGCTCACTGCCATCACCTGATGGATGCTGAGACTCTAGAAAGAGCAGAGGTGTCTACATCCCAGTCCCAGAGCACTAGGCTAGGCAGATTTTTCAAAGCTAATGACCATGGATTTATTTAGCCTTTGTAGGCTTATTATGAAATTGTCTGAAGGTCCCAAGACTCTCAGAGTCTCTTGTTTGCAAGGACACTTTAGCCAGCTCTTTAATCTTTTCAATTTCAATCTCATTTAAGTATTTTGGCCACATTTTCATGCTTTAATGACTGGCTGATAGAAAGGAAAAGAAAAGATTAAACAAAGGTTAGGATAAGAGCTTAGCTGGAGAAGAAATCTATCTGGAAGGGGGGAGGGTGGAGATAGGGCGCATGCAACATTTTATATGTGCAGGTTCCAGCCTCCCTGGTCATGTCTGGTTCCACGTTCTGGTGTCCTACGTGCATGTCCAGGCAACGACAAGCCACAGTGTTGCCCACTACCATGCTTTCTGCATCAGGTTCTGCTCCAGAAATCTCTCTGGCTACTCAGGCTTAAATTCCTGCAGCCTGCCAGCATCTTCCTACGCATTCAACATCCTTAGATGGGGCCATCCCTACCACCTTCCTTGTTTCTGACATACACAGCAATCATCTGTTCATCACTGTCACAAGCCTAGGCTGGTTATTTTTGTGGTCTTAGATCAGATAACTTCCTTTTTATTGTTTCCAGGATATGCTTTCATGGATAAGCCATTTCAAATCCTGCTGGCTGAGTCTATCTCCCTCTTCTTTGTCATCGCCTCTTAGCCAAGTAGCTCCTCACAAGCAAGTCCACAGAGGCATTGATTGGTGTCTGCAAACACATGGCTTCTCAGCACAAGTATCTTTGGCAGGATTGGGGAAAGGAGCCAAGAAGGCACACTTGGCTCCCTTGAGTGTATCCTGGCACATCCAACCTCACAGTACGCACCAGCTGCCATTCCTACCATGCTCTGTCCCAAAGAGGGCAGACCGATGCTCTGGTTCAGTACCTCTACAGACACGTCCACACTAACGTTGAGCCAGCCTGCTTGAGTATCTGCAGGGTGGGAATGTGCCTGTGTGGGGCTTGGGGTTATGCAACCCTCTAGAGACTCTGGGGAAGGACTGCAGCAGTAGCCAAGCTCAGCTCTCCTCCACTGAATTGTGACTTTGAACACAGCACGGATATATCCAGCACTGCAAGTGTGAATCTACCTCTGGTCGGTGGCCATAAAGCCATGACCAGTGGGCTCTGCGTGGGGGTCAGTGAAGTGCACTATAAACAACTCCCCTAACTCCCCCAAACAGGTTCCCCTTGGCTGTACATCCAGAGAAGGTGAGAGACTGATAGACCATGAAGGACCAACTCATATGGCCAGCACATGGGGGAAGCCTGTTCAGGCTGTTCCTGCTTTGTAGTAGGAGGGTTAAAGATTTGAGGGTGGTTTGTATAATAGATTCAGTTTGGGCTTTCATGTTTTTGGGGGGTCTTCACATACTGGAGACCACTAGAAGGTCAGTGTAGGCTCATGCAAAGCTTTGTGAACTGTTTTCCGTGAAGTTAAGGATAGATGCCAATGCTTGTGCTGTAGGGCATCTCTATCTGACTCAACATGTAGGAGAAAACTGGGCACCTTACTGTTGACAATTCTCCTTTACATAGAGACTACAAAGAAGTGCCATGGGGAACATGGGTGACAGGCAAGACTGAAAGCTTACCTGTGGCCGGGGGTGTCCTGTGACCAGACACTGCAGGACCAGCGTGTCCCCCTCTCGAATTGTGTAAACTCGTTCACTGATGTTGTCTTCCTTCACCACGCACGCCTGCCCAGCATGGATGATTTGGGCCTGAGCAGGAGCTGCAGACAGGAAAGAAGAGGTAAAGAGGGAAACAAGCAGCACCCCATCCCCTTATGCCCACTGCCCAGGGTGGCTGCTCCCACAGCAGTTTGGAAGAGCCACCTCTTAAGCCACAGACAGGAGGAGCCAGACAGTGCTGGATATGAGACACAAAAGTCTCAGGAGGTATAAAACTAAGCTATTTTCCCCATCTACTGGGAAGCTGGTCTCAACTTCTATTTTAAAAACCTTTGGTCCTGTTGGGATGAACAGCTCTAGGCACTGAAAAGCAGAATATAGAGATTTTTTGAGGGACCCTACTGCATGGGCTGAGGACCAAGAATTTCCCACTCTTGTCTCTCCCAGAAAGAAGTGTGTGCAAGCAGTTAAAGCAGGGACCTGATCAGATCACAACTGCTCTATGATTACTATGATTTACCTTGCAGGGAACTGTGGTAACTACTGAGCAGAATCAGAAAGGGCCTTGAAGCTCTGTACAGCTTTCAGCATGCATCCCTAGAACAGGCATAGCACACACTGCAGGAGAAATGAGTCTTCCCCAAATTACACAGCAACTTATCTCAGCCCTGAGCCAGAGGAAACAGCCTCTGCAGGATCAGGGGACCTATAATCTCTAGGGTTCCAAGTGGAGCCCAGTTACAGCCAGTCCAGCCGGGAAAACAAGTAAAGACCAGTGCTGTGGAAAAATATGTGGGAAGAAAATTCCCAGAACAAAAGTTGAAAAACTTCATGCCCCCTAAATGGCAACTATATCCCACTGTAGCCCTGACCAACAGCAGAGAGAGGAGAGCTCTAGGAGAGCGGGGGTTTTTTAAAGAAAAAGCCTCAGCTTGAGAGTCCTGTGCAAACAGCCCTTGGGTGCCTACTCCTAAAGCATTTGTGTGATCACCAAAGTGGCTGAGATGTATTGAAGGTGACTGTGCAGCCCAGCGGGACACCTGTGCTTGTTCGAGGGGAAAACTCCAGTCGCACTTCAAGGAACAGAGAATCCCACAAACGTGTCTAAGAATCAGTGCCTCAGTGAGAGTCCCTCTGGGACTTCCCTGTCTTGCTACAATGCTTCCAGGTGACTCTGGAGTCACAGCTTTAGCTTCCATTAGTGAAATACAACACGAATGAACAACTCATTGAGGAGATGATCAAAGGGTTTAAAGCCACGAGCCTTAGCGAGCCTTCTGAAACAAGCACAGATTTTGCACATCCTGTTAAAGCCGAACTGAGAGACCACTTTTTCCTCAAGCTTAGTTGAGCTTCAAAGACTTTTTTTTTTTTTTTTCCTTTTGGCATGACCAAAATGCTCTAAACCCAACCACCTGGTCAAGGGAAATGCTCGGATTTATGCTGGTTTAATCCACCAGCAGCACAGACCTAGGGCAGGCTGGGCACAGGCTGTGGAGATCTGCCTTTGAGCTCAGCCTGTACGAACTGGTGTCACTGCAATGCACTGACCAAGCAGCAGTGACACAAGAGTGGACACAGGGCTAGCAGGAAGCAAGCTGATCTTGCTGCTGGGACTTCCCAGCCTGCCACAGCCACCCAGCACCCAGGCAGCAGCACTGCACATACAGCAAACTACTCCCTCTTTTTGCATCTCTTCTGTCTTTCCAGCATGGTGGCCCTTTGTTAAAATCATTATTTACTGTCCAAACCGTTGACTAACAGAAGCAACACATGTATTTGAATAATACGATGGCACAGACATGGGCAAATCCCTCAGCCTCTCCCGTCTTCCCTCTCTGCGGGGCTCCCAGGAGCACGTCTGCCATTGCTCAAGAATCATGGAACCCTGAAACCCACTGTCAAAGTTTTGCTGATACAACATCCCCTGCTTGGATGGTAGAACAGTCTCGTTGAACCCAGAAGAAAGCAGAAGCCTATATATGTGCTTACATACATCTGTGTGCTTGTATACACATACAGGTATGGATATACACATACAGATATGTAAATACATTAAATAAAATAGTGACTTATCAGGAAAAGACATCATGAATGCTTGTCAAGCAATGACAGAGGAGTAATTCCGAAGCCCATATAACCTTTGCCAAACTACAGCCTCTTATGCTGTTTTAGCCCTCGGATCAGTCCTCTGCAGACCTGCCACCACACCTTTAACCCCACATGCACTGCAGAGCATAGTTCTCAGTGCTGGGACCCAGGCTGTGATGCTGAAGAATCCCTGCTCTGTGATAAAGAGACACACCCCCCGCCCCATCCCTTCCCATCCAGTACCATATTCCCCCCCATTCCTGACTTGTGCTGCCTGCATTTCAGTGGGGTTCTGGCACCCTGCAGCAGCAAAGCTCTCCTAACCTCTCTTTAGTCTCTGGGCTGCATTTGCCGGCTGGTGGCTCTATTCTCCCTTTGCAAACATGACCTTGCTGCAAAAACTAATTTCCAGACACCCCATGGAGAATCAGAGTATTTATCTGAAGCTTTAGCTCCCAGTTAACTGTTTCCTAAAGTTGTTCTGCTGTACCTCACATGGTATACAACGTAAGTCTTTCAACTTACACTCTACCCTTTGGCCATCCTGCTTCCTTACTGTCACCTGCCCTGTGAAACCCTTTCCTGCCACCTGCCTAAAGGCACTTCCACATGGGGAATTTCTACAGCAAAATTACATACAGTGGTACGGGATTAGAGGGGTTTCGTGCAACTATTCTGGTGCCAAAATACCTTGTGGTAATTTGTTGGTGTCTCTCTGAGTTTGATAGAAGCATTACTTAAACTAATCCTTATTTGACACTACAAAGGATTATATGGTACTAGTCTACAGCAAAATGACAACCCTAGGGATAAGCCCTGTGTCGTAATTTTGTCCTCTTATCTCAAATTCTCCCTGGATCCTCTGAACTGTAACAAAGTTTACAAGCAAGAGTGTGCACATCTAGTTTTGTTCATAGATGTCTTAACTTGCTTGTGTTACCATCACTAATGCCTTTCAGCTATATTAACTGGAAAGGGATACCACTTTAAGTGAATCCCCACTGCTTAAACTGTAATATCTCTCTCTTGCAATCACAGCACCAGGTCCCCAGCAGAATGACCAACATTTTTCCATGTCTTAAACCCCATATGAACCCAGATCTCTCAAAAGGGAGCTCAGAAAGCCTGGGGTTGTCTTGGAAAGGAAAGCACTCAGGTAGATGGCATAGGAGTCTGAGAAACTCTGCCTTTGATTATAATTTGACATTAGTGAAGTGGTGGGGGCTGAGCAACACAGCCATCTCTTACGGGATTGCATTAAATCACAGGATGAGACTCAGGAAGGTCTCTGTTCCAAGCTCAGCCTGCCACAGCACACAAAGGCTGGGAAAGTCACCTCATGCCATATTACAGATGGGCAGAGAGATTGCGAGGATTAATTGCACTTTTAATGTGCTTGAACAGAAAGAATACATTATTGTTTGACATAATCCCAGGTCTCCTGGAGGATTTCAGCAGGCAGACAGTTTGCACATTGCCAGCACAACAGGATGGCAGGGCCATGCCTGTCAGAGTAAACAGTTTCACAGAAGGCCCTCAGCAGAAAAAAGAAAGGCTGGAGCGTGGGGGCAGCTGCCAGAGATGGAGCAGTAATCTCAGCCATTCTCAGCAGTGCTCCATGAAGAACAACCCTTGCACAGATACAACCTGCCCTATTAAGTCCTGCTTAGGGGCAAGATCTCTCTCCTCAGGCTGGCAAACCCCAAAGTAGAGGTCCAAGGAAGACTTCTGATGACCTCTATGGGGCAGGTTGTTCCTCACTTTTTCCCAACATTGTGAGGGACGGATGCATCATCATGTCCATTCCACTTCCAGGTAAGAGATCAACTTAAGGAAGGTTCGCAATACAAAGTCTTCCAGAGAAACTAGGCCATCCAAATATTAAGTGCCAGATACTTTACAAGGGAAAAAAATTGACACTCAACCTGCAGCGTCAGGCCCTTCTCCTTGGTAAAGGGCTGGCTTGCAACGCATTTGGCCTCTGCACTGAGATTTCCTACTATGCTTTCACTTGATATATTTACACATTAAAACAAAAGGAAATTGGAGTGGATAAAATGACTTTATTCCCAGTGCAGTGTACTGTAGAATGTTGTTATTACCATAATCTGGAAAGTTTATGAGACTCTTGGTGCTTGAGGTTGCTAATATCATTAAAATGCAGAAAAGGAGAGAGAAATGGTCTTTTGGAGGACTGAGTAATCTGTATTTGGTTCACAGGTCTAGCCATTTATCTCTCTGAGCCCGAGATCTCATCACTACAACGGCAATGATAAGAGCTCCTTCCCAGAGAGGTTGGCGAGTGACAGATACTGCACTGGTACTCCCACAGTCACAGTCAGCAACTGCAAGGGCAGGCTGCTCTCCCCTTTTGCAGCACAGCATCAGCTGCACTTCTGTGCTGCCTTCTCAGCAGGCTAACACGAGCCATCACTGCTAGACTCTGCCCTTCCACCACATTTGCCACCTGCACATGCCCTGCAGACGGGATGAAGAACTTGCATCTCCAAAGCTGCTGGCCCAGCAGCAATGCTGAATCCACCTACCTCTGCTACCACCCTCCCACAGGGTGGGGAGAGAGGGAGGCTGCACCTGGAGCCTTCCCTTTTCCTCAGGCTTAATCTACCAATTTGCTTTGCAAGGCAAGTGATGCCCTCTCATACATCTGGTGTAATTATAGTGCAGACTCTTCTGCACATAAGCTAGGCAAAGAAGCCAAGGTCCTTCCCCATCCCTGTTCACAGGCTCCCTGGACTCACATTGTTCAGTTACACGGGAGCAAGGAGGGGGAGAGGAGGGCATCGGCAACTATTCTGCTGCTTAAACCCCTCAAGAACTTGCCTGTCTCCTCCTCTCACCCTTCCCATCTACAGGAAGTAGGGGAACAATACACAGTGTTTATGGAGCACATAGGGTTGAATAAGCATTTCATTAAGGAAATCCACAGGTGCCACTCCGTGCTCAACAGCCATTCTCAGTAGCTGCGTGTCCACGGGTGGAACCGTCCTGC